GACAGTACAGTACAGGAAAGTACAGTACAGTACGGTAAAATAGTACAGTACAGTACAGTACAGTACAGTACAGTACAGTACAGTACAGTACAGAACAGTACAGTACAGTTCAGTACAGTACAGTACAGTACAGAACAGGAACAAACAGTACAGTAAAGTACAGTACAGTACTGTACAGTCCACACAGCTGTAGGGATAGGTTCCGCTGAACTTATACTTTTTCTTGCATTTTTCATTGTTTCATTTATTCCAAATTCATAGATTTTGTTTTTAAGGAAGTAGTCAAAAAAAAAAATTTTTTTAAAGATTTTTTATCTAAACCTCCACTCCAGGTTACCAGGAGCATTCTTTTTGTTTTGTTAAATAGGTAAATAATTTTTCAGGTTCACAGGGGTTATCTTTGGTCACTTTAATCCATCTTGTTTATAATCTTTAAATTGTCACTTTTTTGTGTTTATTTTTGTCACTTCTTGATGTTATTATTACCACAAATCATGGTCGCCAAAAAGTGCCCAATACACTATATTCAGCAAAATAAAACTGGTTGGGAACAGCCACCTGAAAAATTGAAAAAAATATAAAATTTAAAAATATTTTATAATGTTAAAATCTATGTTATGAAGTTGTTAACATGTTGACAGGTTGTGCACTTCAAAAGATATACAGATATGGGATGCAGATTAGAAATTGGAAACTGCAGATAAAGACAATTCAAAAGTTTTGCGGTGCCGTGACAAACTCCTGAAAGACAAACTCCTGAAAGACAAACTCCGGAAAGACAAACTCCGGAAAGACAAACTCCTGAAAGACAAACTCCTGACGAGACAAACTCCTGACGAGACAAACTCCTGAAAGACAAACTCCTGAAATTATGAAATTTTTCTCTGAATGAAATTTGATAAAATTCATAAACTTTAGAAGAAAAATCCGCAAATATTCTAGAAAAAATTCTCAATCTTTAGTAATTTGAATATGCTTCTAGCAGCAAAGTATTACAATGATCAGAATAACCAGCAAATTTATTATTATTTATTTTTTATTATTTAGGGTTAGGTTAGGTTGAGACACTTTCTGGGCCGAGCGCTGCGGCTAGGACAGGCTAGTGGGCCGAGCGCTGCGGCCATGGGTTAGGTTAAGTGTCGACACTTTCTGGGCCGAGCGCTGCGGCTAGATCAAATATAAATTGTGAAACATTTTTTAAATTTGATATTATGGAGTTTGTATTTCAGAATTTTTTATTTTCAGGAGTTTGTCTCGTCAGGAGTTTGTCTCGTCAGGAGTTTGTCTCGTCAGGAGTTTGTCTTTCAGGAGTTTGTCTTTTCAGGAGTTTGTCTTTCCGGAGTTTGTCTTTCAGGAGTTTGTCTTTCAGGAGTTTGTCTTTTCAGGAGTTTGTCTTTCCGGAGTTTGTCTTTCAGGAGTTTGTCTTTCAGGAGTTTGTCACGGCGCCAAGTTTTGCCATTAAAGTTTTAGACTTGACTTTGAAATTGAAGTGCTGCAATGCTTTGGCCTTTGGGTTTTCCTCAAAAACTTGCTTAAACTTTTTTTGTAGCACAAGATATTTACATTATAAAGATGCGACGCGCTTGGTTTTAACTTAAGTTTAAAAGAAGTAATCGTCAAAATACTGCTCGATTTTTATGTGTAACGCAGGGAATACGCACTACGAAGGGATGCAACCGATGGTCGTCTATTGCAGTTAATCTCTAACAAATGTTTGAAGAGTAATGAATACTGAATAGGGCAGGAAATACGTCCCTGTATTTATATTTTGTGGTTGTTTGTGAATGTTATAGCTAGAGATAAGAGAATAGAGATCTATTAAAGGCTAGAAGATGTGATGTTTTCCACAGCAGAGTCTATTGTGTACAACTGAAGTACACAGTACACATCATATTCAGGAATATACTTCGGATACCAATTACAAAACCTTTTAAAATAGACTATTTTTATGTTTTATGTTGAAAGTTAGAGCATTTATTTAAAAAATGTAAAACTTAACCCCGGAATGGGTATTATATGCGACAGGTGGCTGTTAGATGGCAGTTAAAAAACCTTTCGTGGAAATGTAGCATGGCGCACCGGGACACATAGACCTGCTTTGCCTATCAAGGTAGAGCTTAAGATGAGTGTTAATCTGTGATTTTAACCTGGATATTCTATCAACTAGCACCGCTTTCTCTCTTCGCTTCTTCATCAAGTCTCGAATCTCTTTCTGCCGCTTTGCATGCGCATCCTTGAATATCATTTTTCAATTTTTAAATTATGACAGATATTAAATAGGGTTTTTAACGCAAATGGATTATACTTGCGCGCAACTGTGAGTTAATTTACAATTCCAAACAATTCCATGCAATTCCAGCCAATTCCATGCAATTCCATGCAATTCCGAGCAGTTCCGGGCAATTTTGCACAATTCCGTGCAATTCCGAGTAACTCCACACAATTCCATTCAATTCCGCGCCATTCAGAGGAATTCCGGACAATTCTGCACAATTCCGGGCAATTCTGCACAAATCCACACAAATCTGCACTTTTCCGAGCAACAGAATGGGGAAACTGAGAGATTAAGTCAAACGGTCTAAATTATTTTTTTGGGGTAATTTTTATGTCCAAAGATTGAACAAGTCATACAGAGTCCAACATTTTTTACTTTGTATCAAATCTGATTAAATCCAACGAGGTTTTGTAAAATGTAAAATCTAGGGTTTTTTGAAAATAATTTCAGGTTTCTTTTTGCACAATTCACAAAATTCACAAAGCAAAATCGAACAATTTGAAAAGAGTTTAGGCTCTCCAATGCTTTTAAAAATATACCTGAGGATTTGCTTTGATGATGGTTGGATACTGGTTTTTAATGTAGTGGGGTGGAGGAGGAGGAGGAGGGAGGAACGGGGAATGTTTAGATATTTGAGGATGCCCTTTCTCCAGCAACTCGTCCTAAAGTAATTAATAAAAAGTTGAAATGTTAAAAATGCTAGAACAGAAACCTTTAAACCTTGAGAACAGAAACCTTTAAACCTTGAATACAGAAACCTTTAAACCTTGAGAACAGAAACCTTTAAACCTTGAGATCGGAAAACTTGTTAGTTGACTCTTCACTCTAAATTATAAAATAAAAAAAATCGCTTATTTGACAGAAAAAGTTGGACTGGCTGCCAATTGAACAATAAAAAATTCCTAATACACAACAAAAAATCGTTTGATTGGCAGTAATCCAAAGTTTCCTGCCAAATAAACCATTTTTTGTTGAATTTAAGCGATTTTTTTGTCATTATTTGGCAGGCAAAAACTTTTGCTGTTAAATAAGCGATTTTTTGGATTTCGCAATTCCGAGTGTTTACTTCCTTGTCTTTATCCAATCGATATAAAATGACGCACAATGCCGCAAAGAGAATTTTTAGATGATGGCAGGTTGAAAAGTACAGTTGCGGAGACATTTAGCGACATTTTTAAAAGTATTTCAAAATTACTAAAAATATCAAATATTTTTATATTTAAAATTTCAAAATTTTATTTCTTAGAGAAGACTGAAAACTTCAAGATTAACGCATATTCAAATTTTTTTAAAACAGAATTAATGCTGGAGAAGAAACAAAATATTGAACAATTTCACATTTACTTTTTGTCTGTTTTAAAGCATTTATTGGACTTAATATTTGAGAGGTGTTTTTACAATAAATTAAGTGAGTTTATACAAACTCAAGCTCGTAAACTTATGATATGTTAAAGCTTTGAATTCCGCTAGATCAAATAATCAAAGTTTGAATTAGGTAATTTTAAAACCTTGCTTCTGATATTTTCAAATAACGTTTTAGGTTGAAATTTTTATGCGTTTTCATTCGTTTATCGGACATGATGGCACTCAATCTAAATAAATGACACGAAACTATAAAAGAAATTCAATCAATAAATTTGAGAAAAATTAGATTCTTTTATTTAGATCTTAAACAAGGTTCTTTTAACCATTTTTGTCATTTTTTTGATCTGATAGTTACTTTTGAAAAATTTATTCCAGTTTCGAGGAATTTTGATAATGAAGACGGCATTTTCATATTTACCAGGAATGTTCGAAAATCCAGCGCCAGCGAAATATTATTTAAAAAATAAAATCAAAAATATTATGAAATATTAACTACATATGAATGCGTCGAAAAGTAATCGATGACTATTGTTTGTAATATCTTAATGATTTGTTTTGAACTAAATTGATTATTTACGATCCGTGTTGAATTTTGCAACTTTCTGAATAAGTAAGGCCACTACGTTCTTCAGCATGAATCGTTTTTTTCAATTTTCTCCTTATAGACACAATAGATAAAAGTAAGATTAGTAGTGATCAAAAGCGATTATTGTTCACCGTAAGCTTATACCCACTTTAATTTTTCGCCAACACTCTCTTTAAGAAAAAAAAGGTTTAAAGAAATGGGGCTATATTTTTTTTATTATTCATTTTATAAGTAATTTAAAATATTCTAAATTAAATAAAATTTACTTAATTTTATTAAAATAAAGTTTGTATTTTTATCTGTGAAGAAGAGTGAAGACAAGTTAAATGTAAAAAAATTAAAAATAATTTAAAAATTGCAATTGTCAAGTTTTAAAATGATTCCTCTTACTTTTTGACTTAAAGATTTCAATATTTTTTGTCAAAAACTAAAAAAGAGAAAAAATTATCTATTAAATTAAATATTTCTTTCGACATATTTTATCTTTAACATTCCAATATTTGAGAAGCCATATTGTTTAAGCCGGAGACAAACACCACAATCAAAGAACTTATAAGCCTGAGGACCGAACTTTTGGTTAATACTGCGCTTAGCTACAGCGCCAAGGTTTCTAAATATTTTATAAAATTTTTTTTAATGAGTGTTTTTTAATGACTTTTTCCGATGGAAACGGATTAAAGTTAAGATTTAGCGTGACAGAGGCGGATTAGTGTTTTGCGAAAGGATCAAACCAAATCTTTTTAATCTTCGTGACAGAAACAATCTCAAGAACTGGCGAGGGTCAACCCAGACCGAAATACATTTTCAATAAATGTGGAACTAACATCTACTTTTTTTACTCTATAGAGGTTTTATCCATCACGATCACCGAATTTTAAACCAAACAAAATGCTATCGGTTATTTTCTGTATTTGTGTGTAAAAAAAAATTTAAAAAACAGAACACTGCAATTTTGTTTAATTTCACTAATAAAAAATATTTTGAGAAAGATAAAGTTCAAACCTTTAGTTTTGAGTTGTAGATTGACCGATGAGGCCCAAGTTGTACACTACGATGAAGACAGTGGCTTCCTAAAAAAATTAGATTAAAGGGGATGTTCCCTTTTTTATAAACACACAAAATATAACTCCAACTTTTGGAACTAGGGGTTGTATTAAACCACCAGTTTCCATTCAGAGATTTCTGATCCTCAGGGACCTGTCTCTAAGAAATCGAGTGCTATTTATTTTTCAAATTGGTAAACATTTCCTTTATTTCATTGCTTGTATATACTATTATATTCATGTCAACGTATAATGAAACATTAAACAGTGTTAGCGAAATAGATTCTAATACATTACATGGCACCGTAGAATTTGTAAACTCTCATTACAGCTGTATTTTTACGTCACAAGTGTCAATTAAGTTTTTGTGTCGTACAAAATTATCAATAATAGTGATAATTTTGAAATGAAGTGCTTATCTTACATTAAAATAAGTGTAATTTTATGTGTTCTTTAGTTTCTGGTTTTACACTTTTTTATTTAATCTTGGAAAACATGTCGACTAATGTGAGAAAATTTTGTTTTCCTTGTTATATTTGACACTTGTGACGTCGTGTATATTTGATACATTTCTCTGTTGCCATCTATTGTACTAGATAATCTATTTGGTGTTAGCGACTAAATATTCAAACACAATTTTGATTTCAATACTCAAAGAATCTGCTTCCTTAAGTTTTCAGAAAACAGTGGCAAATATTATAAAACATTTTTGCAAATAAAAGTTTTAAAAGAAAATTATATTTTTACCTTTGTAAATTTATACTTTTTAAAGGGCGGTATAAAAGTTTAAATTATACTAATGCAAATTTATTGCAAATGTTTGCATACAATTTCTGGCGATAAACATAAACTTGTTTTGTGCATGAGACATTTTGTATTCTAAAAATTTGAAGAAATATTTCTTATTTTGACAAAACATGCATTTCCGGTATTCCAAGCTGAAGCCATTTTCTTATTCCGGTTGGAATGGATGGCATGGGAAGATTTTGTTCGAAAATATGTTTTGAATTTATAAAGTAAAGAGTTAAACAAATATTTTGGAAATTTCTGAAATCCACCAGAATTATATCAGAAAATCTACCAAATCTAGCTGTTGTAATGTACAAGGTAAGTACGAGATTGTAAAAATTGACCCAAAACTTGAAAATATGACGATTTGAAGCTTGCTTTGGACTAAAGGAACTTTTAATGCGATAAACTATCGTCCTTGAAATCTGATCCTTTGTGGGTAACCCATGTATACGAAATTCTAAGAACCTGTTATATCATATCTTTTTAGTATTTTTTATACAATACTAAAAATATGATATAGTTCATATTATTACAGGATATGAACTATAAAGTAAATGTATATTGTATCTTTATATATACATAAAGTAGTAATCTTTGTTTGTTTGTTTGTCAGATTATAACTTATAAACCCTGGAACCAATTTGCCTCAAGCTTTGTTTGAAGAAGAACCACGTGAATGTGCTTAGTTTTACTTTTAGATTATAAGATTAGCGGGCCGACTTTTTTAGAGAAAAATAGCAAATATCGTAGTTTTAAAATAATAATAATCAAATGTGTTTTTGGTCACATTTGAGCAATGTGTCCATGATGGAGAGTAATTTTATAAAATAAATATACCACGGCAATGCAGTAGCTCTATCTTCAGAATACTAAATCATGTTTCATATTAACAGAAGAATATTGTAGGATAAGTCAACAAATTAGGAAAATAACAGATTTTCTAATTTAATATTGACTAGGCAACACTTTTATCGCAAATCTGCAGTCTTTATAGGTATATACTTTGCGTTTGGTTGGTTGCTTTGATTGTATCCCGATAAAGGAACCAACTCAAATTTTTTGTGGGACATGACCCCGTTGTAGGTTTATGGATAGTCGGAATATAAAAAAATGTTTCTCAAAAAATTCCGATATTTAGAAGTCCACGAAAAAAAATCGTTAAATCCGCGAAAAAAAACCAAAAAAGCGCCCAGTGCTGGAAACTTTTGAATTGTGGATATCGGGATTAATGCTTAATCCACTCTTTTCCTTAATCTCCAGATTAAATATTGCTTGTTCTCCTCATGAATTTAATCTCCTGAGCTGAAAACTTTAGAATGGAATATCCTCAATCCCATTCGGCAAATACATCTGGAGATTAATATAAAGAAGAAACCAAGCATTATTTAATCTGGAGATTAAGAAAAAGAGTGTATCAAGCATTGATTCCGATATCCACCATTTAAAAGTTCCCAGCTCAGATTAATTAACAGATCGGGATTAAGGATATCACATTCTTAAGTTTTCAGCTCTGGAAGCATAGTAACTTAAGTGTTTCTTTGACGGCAATTTTTTCGTAAAACTTTTAAAGAAAAAAAAAACAATATAAAAATGTTGATGGTGGAATTCCAAATTGTTGCCTGGCCAGGGGTCATGTTAGTTACCACACATTCGATTTAAGCTGAGTCGGTTTACACGTTTTGATTTTAGCTGTGTCGGTTTACACGTTTTGATTTTAGCTGAGTCGGTTTACACGTTTTGATTTTAGCTTTGTCGGTTTACTCGTTTTGACGTTTTGGACACAAACAAACATCAGTTTAGTCAAGCTTAGCATTATTTTCATTCTCACCTCACTCGTTAGAATTAATTTCATCAAACACAACAATTTCTTTTACAATCTTAATACTTAAAATTAATTAAATTTTAAAGTAATACTCAAAATACAGGTTAAAATCTTGCGACATCACAAATAATTCCTTACTTTTTACCTTCGAATATTTTTTTCTGTGGTGTATCAAATTAATTGCAATTACTCTTAAAATATCGATTTATTTTGCAATTAGGAGTTAATTGAGTAACAAATATCTTCATTAAACTATGGTGTAATTTATCCTTCTTACTCACTTTATCGTGAATTTCATAATGAACGTGCTATAAAGTAATCATCGTGCTATAAAGTTAAATTAGCTGTATACTATAGCAACGTGCTATAAAGTAATCATCGTGCTATAAAGTTAAATTAAGTGTACATTATAGCACCATGCTATAAAGGTTTGATTGGTTCCCGGATTTCTCCAAAGAATTTAGGATATTTCCAAAATATTTTTTTTCAAAATTGAAATGAAAATGAAAATGTAATCAACTTTATTGTTTTACTTCTGCTTTGTTTCAAAGCTTATTTAATTTGGAAATAGCCATTAAAATAAGACAAGTACTCAAACGTTTCATAAAATTACCTATAAAACTTTCATTTTGAAACGACGTGCTATAAAGTTTTTGGGATATATTTTTCAATATATTTCGAAGGTTCTCGCCTTGAACCATCTCAAGGAAGAGAAAATTTCTGTCCAAAAACTTAATAACACTACAAACCAAAATAGCAGTGTTATAAATAGTTAATTATTGGTGAAATAACCAATTCGCAAAAACATTTTTTTTATGCTGAGAGAAAACTGCAGACGATAAATATCTTAAAGCTAGTCACAACAAATATTACATTTTTAAATATTAATAATGATTTTATCTGAATTTTTGAGATTGAAGAATCGAGACTAAACAAAGACGACTAGTTTAAAAAATCCAAAATGGCGACTATTTACCGTTTGTGTCTGATTCCATAGACCCTTCCAGCTTCATCTCACTGTAGAAACCCATTCCATTATCAGCCTGCTATAGAGTATCTCAATATACATGAAATTAATTCCACCGACTTGAAAGTCTTCTTTGATTTCCTAAAATTTACAAAAGACAAAGAACTTAATCATATGATTGCACTTTTTATCTTTTAGAAATTAGAATTTTTAACAATTTTGAGTCCACATTTAAAAAAAAAACTAAGACTTTTTGCTTAAATTTTTTTGTCTGGATTACTACTGAATTCCAATGATTTTGAGCAGTAGACGTATAAACCTGTGTTTTGTGTAGATATTTGTCAATAAATGAGAACATATCATTTCGCTTTTTCCCAAAGTGCTTTTTTGAATTTTTTTATTAAACCTCACAAGCGCCCACTAGCGCCATAAAAATGACAATGAAACATCTTTTTGGCTTTGATGGAGATACTGAAATTGAAAAATTGTCAACTTTCAGAAAGTAAAAAAGGGAAGTTTTTGTCTTTTTTGTTTAAATGGGTGATAGGTGCCGTATTGAATCGAACAAGCTAATCCATAAAAGAAAGGTCACTTTAATTTAAAGGATTATTTTCTTATTCACATTTTACATTCTTTATTTTCCTCAAAAACACAGCAAACTTGATCTGAGCTGTTCAACTTAATCCTTTTAGTTTCAACAGATAATTAAATTTAAAACATTAGAAATTCTCAAAGCTCACCGCTTGTTTTAACCCTTAAAAGACTGGGATCGGGAGGAGGGGGTGGGGGGTCTGAATCTATGTATAGCTTGGGAGGGGCACATAGAACTGTATATTACGTATGTCTTGTATCGTAATCTTATTCAATGGTGTAAAACACTTTATATAATTAACATTTTTAAATACAAATCCCGACAGCAAAGTATAAAAGAGCAAATACAAAAAAAAGCATTCAAAGGGTCAACATGAATTATGAATTGTTTAGACTTGTTTGACTTTAAACCAGGATCTCTCCCAATACAGTAAAGATAAGGAGGCATGCATTACATAGATCGAAGCCGAATAATCTGAGGGCAGCCATTATTAAAAAAATTTCAGACCTAAAACTTCATAATGGTAATGGTGCTAGTGATGTTTTAAAGAAATCAGCGAAAATAATGTCGATTAAATGTTAAAACTTTTTCTGCTTTTTGACATAATTTCATATAAATGTGATAATGACACATAATTGCGTTTTAATATAAATTTTTTATGAGTTTTTAAAATCTTAGATATGTAGCTTAAATAACAAAGACGTTTTGGTATGGTATGGCGTACTGCAAAAAACTACCTTTATAAAAAGAATGTAACTTTTTTCAAGGATTTTAATTGATTTTCAACTTTTCTTTGCGTTTTTGTTTCATAGACTGAAATCCAAATACGTTCTTTCCTATGATTTTAACTTAATTAAATTCACTTTAAGAAAGATTTATATTTTATACTTATACAATTATTTTGTCACAATTGTATTAAATTTTTCAATGGCTAATTATAATATTTAAGTTTAATTCTCAATATGAGTTTTCCGAAAATTGTTAATTATGTTTGAACTAGGAATTCAAAATTACCCAAGAGAACCCCTGAACGTGCGGTGAATACAATTTCTAACTTAAAGGACATATTTCCAAATTTAGCGCAGTAAATAATATGCAACTTTTTCCTTTAAATAAATCTTTATCTATAGGAATCTATGTTTTGAGATAGTAATAGATAGATGGATAGATAGATATATAGATAGATAGATAGCAAGATAGATATATTGATAGATAGATAGATAGATAGATACCTCTTGCTCTTTTCTATCCTGTTCCTGCATTAAATCTGCCAAAATTTTCTCCTACAAAAATAAATAAATACCATTATTATTATTATAATATTATTATAATTATTAACCTGGTTAATGGGTGGTGTAAGGTGTAGACCGGGGGATCTAGAGTTCATAAGAATACTGGATATACCAACACTTTTCTTCTTTTCTAAGATTATATTTACGATTTTATTTCAAAATTCATACGATCGACATTGTAGAATAGCTCTGCATAATGCATAAAGGATTTAGAGTCCATTTGAATTGTTCAAATATATTCAAATATTCCTAAACCTGGCATTTTGTTTTAGTTTGATCTTACTCTGGATACCACTCCTCAAATACACATTCTGAGGGCAACACTTCTGGTTTGGTATAGCGCTTAGTTTTAGCGACTGAATTCAATAATTATGCCGATTAGTTGAATTGACATGAGGTTATCTAACTACTGTCGGTCACATTCAAGTAGTTGTTTACCTATTCAACTACTTCTTGATATGTTTATAAATCAAGACCTCAAATTTAGTATGTTTGTATACCGGCAAGGCAAGTTTTTGATTTTTGACATTTTAAATTCATGACTTTATCCATATATTAACTAGAGTATACTCCTAGACTAGAATATATAACAATATCTGCAATATCTCCCATATATTACCTATATCTGCAATATCCCCCATATATTACCTATATCTGCAATATCTCCCATATATTACCTATATCTGCAATATCTCCCATATATTATCTATATCTGCAATATCTCCCATATATTACCTATATCTGCAATATCTCCCATATATTACCTATATCTGCAATGTCTCCCATGACTACATTGACGAGAGCATACTCCATGAGAGAGAGGAACACGAACACAGTGCACCCGGACATAAATACGTCGATAGCCTACAATCAAAATATATTTAAAATCTAGAAATAGATAAAAAACTTAACATCCCCTTGTAATCCCTTTTTAAGTTTTCCTCATCCTGGCTTAACTTTTTAAAATTTTGTTTAAACCCACTCTAATTTCCAGGCTGACCGCTGATTACTTTATTAATCCCTGCTGACAATTTTCTGTCACAGTTTATCGCTTTATGTTCCAGCTGACCATTTTATTCTCCCGGCTAACGGCATTATTTTCCCAGCTGACCACTTTATTTTCCCAGCTGACCACTTTATTCTCCCAGCCAACCGCTTTTATTGGTAATTTTAATTTTCCTATTTTATTATTTTAAATTAATTTTATTGTTATTTTAAAAAGTAATCCTGAAACTGTATGCTTTTATAAAATACGGAAATTAGAAAATAATATATATAGCGGTTGTACGAGTATCAGCTAGAATCTTTGCATTTTAGAATAAAAAATGAAAAAAGATTTTAACAAAAAATGTTTTTAACCAATGAAATTGAAAACATAAATATTTTATAATACAATTTTTGTTTCAACCCCTGAAATTATATTTTTTGTTGTTGTAAAATATATTGTTAAAAACGTAAAACCCACGGGTTGAGAGCAAAAATATTTATCTGAGAAGTTGAATCAGTTTTTAATTAGAGAAAGAAAGAAATGGTATTATGATTAATTCTTAACTACGTTGTAGAATCCTGCCTCTAAATCTGGTTCAACAGCAACCGCAGAGCTTTATTTTTAAGTATTGCAATATTTGTAAAAAAATATTCATAATTTTTTAGAACTTCGTTTTGTATTCAAAATGTTTTTCATATATTAAAAGCTTTAAAACGGAGAAAAAAATCTATTAAAACAAAAATATGAAAAGTTTAAATTAATAAAAATCTTGATATACCACGATAAACCTATAAAAACCTTCTCTGTAAGTATTTACATTTAAAAGATTAAGTAAAAAGCTGAGCTAAGTCATATCCGGCGGAAATGAAGAAATAAACAAGCCACAGAACTATTTCCAAGATGGCCGTCTGAAAATCATGTTTATATAAATAAAATGTTTATTTACATTTAGGTTTAAGATTTTTCTTACAAAGAATAAAAAATATTTTTGTAATAAAAGGTTTTGCTTCAAATACAATATATGAAATGAAATAAAAACTTGTTTGAAAAAATTTTTTTTTTCAATATCTTTAATCCTCATCTTGTTCCATAGTTTTTAAGCTTAATCTGAGGCCGAATTTAAAGAATTTGAGCCGCTGTTTAATTTTAAGCCACGGCTCAAATATGGTTGACTTCACTTAAAATTGTATTAAATTTTTCAAGATTTAAGCCGGCGCTCAATTTAAACTGGTTTTTGGCGGAGTTGAGACGTGGCTCCAATTTATTAAAGTCTGACATTGGAAATCTAAATTCAAAAGTTTCGAACTATTATTTGAATCAAATATTCAAAGTTTTAAAATAAATAAATTTCTATTTAAACTGATCGAGAAATATTGCATGACTCTTCCCTAAAAATGAAATGCAGCACTTTAAATACAGGGTGTCCCACGAAACATGACAGTTGGTAAATAGTTTAAAATGTCATCTTCCAGAATTGTTAAGTTGTTTGATACTAAAGAGAATAATAAAGAATAGTAAACAGGCAGTCAGATTAATGCAAAAATTATTTTTAATACGTTGAGAAGTGCTTTTAGGACTACACCCCCCTCTTCCTCCAGCATTTCCCTTATACAGGGTGTCCCAATAAACACGTGAATTCAGTGACGACTTTAATATCGTCTTCGAACCATGCGGCATTTTTTAATGAGCACAACTATTGCAGTATTCCAGCTTAAACATCTAATATCGAAAACGCCTGGTCTTGAGATTTTCAAAATGTGGTCCATCATTTTTGTATCTTCAAAATTGTCGGAGATATTGCGAAATTTGCATATACAAATTTCAATTTATTAAATCAAAATTGTCTTATATATAATATCTACGTAAATTTTTAAGTTACACTAAAGGTTTATCACTTTATGAAAAGTTCGTCAGACATGCAGCCTCGTTTGTTTACTTTCTTTGCCATGCATTAAATATCAGAAATCAAAGACGACTTTCAAGTCGTCTCTCGATTCCCATGTTTATTTAGACACCCTGTATATTCGACTCTTAAATTGATGAATTCTAACTGATTTGTTTACAATGGAGGACGTAAATATTTCTGTGTTATCGTTGTATTTTTTAATAAATTTTGAGTTTTTTTAACAACAAGATAATAAGATAATAAATTCTACCCGGGTCCCAGAGGTAGGGACAGGGGACTCTGATCTGGAAATGATCCGAGCCACCCTGGATTAACCAGGGCAAGGTGGGTTCGGATCCTTAAATTAGAAAAAAACCTGCTCTTTGACCTATATGATTCAATAATCTTTAAACTTTAAGAATTGTCTTGTTCTATTTTTCATTTAAACAACGACAACGACAAAAAAGTATAAAAGAGAAAAAACAAAAAATTGATGTTAAAATGGTGAAATTGGGATATTAAGTGGCAGCTGGTTGGGACAAGGACCGCACAGTTAAATCAGTGTGACGCTTTTACTCGGCTTAAGTTCAGATCAAGTTCAGATCAATATCGGATCATGATCATATCAAGTCCAGATCAAGTTCATATAAAGTTCTGATCAAGTTCAGATCAAGTTCAGATCAAGTTCAGATCAAGTTCTGATCAAGTTCAGACCAAGTTTAGATCAAGTTCTGATCAAGTTCAGATCAAGTTCTGATCAAGTTTAGATCAAGTTCTGATCAAGTTCAGATCAAATTCAAAACAAGTTTAGATAAAATTCAGATCAAGTTTAGATCAAGTTCTGATCAAGTTCAGATCAAGTTTAGATCAAGTTCTGATCAAGTTCAGATAAAGTTCAGATCAAATTCAGATAAAGTTTTGATCAAGTTCAGATCAAGTTCAGATTAAGTTCTGATCAAGTTCAGATCAAGTTCTGATCAAGTTCAGATCAAATTCAGATAAAGTTCTGATCAAGTTCAGATCAAGTTCAGATCAAGTTCTGATCAAGTTCTGATCAAGATCAGATCAAGTTCAGATCAAGTTTAGATAAGATTCAGATCAAAGCTGAATCAGATCGAATTCTCGATCAAAGCTGAATCAGATCAAGTTCAAATCAAAACTGAATCGGATCAAGTACAGCTCAAAGCTGAATCAGGTTTTCAAACTTACAGCCCAAGTCCCGATATAAAACTTTTCGCAATATTTATGAAACTTCGAAATTAAATTTTCTGAAAAGTTGAATAAATTAAATTTTGCTAAATTTCTGGAAAAGAATACCGCCTTTGCCATAATTTGCTTTCTATTAAAAAAGGGGGGGGGGGAGCTACATACCTTTATATAGGAAACAGGGGGAAGAGATTTTTGACTGTTTGCATGTTGAGTTGAGAGGGTGAGAAGAGAGGTAACTCCCAGGGTAACTCGGGCTGGGACAGCTTCCGGCTTCAAATATATACAGGGTTACCCACATAACATGAGACTTTAATGACATTATAGAATAGGAAGATTTGAAGGTTAAAGGAAGTGAGTTGTCGCCACAAACTTATATTTATAATCCCTATATCTTTACAACGCTATATTTTATACGTTTGATATTTTAAACGTTATTCTTTAAGATTAAATAATCTGATTTTGAAATTTCAAAGGGGTACACCATCAGGTTGCAAAGATGTAGGGAATATAAAATTTGATTTTCATCATGTACTTTGAGTTATGTAAAATATTGCAACTTTCTGATTTTGTATGTACGCTACTTTCCTCGGTATGAGTCGTTTTAAACAATATTCTCCTTATAGACGCAACAGATAAAAGTAAGATTAGTAGCGATCACCATCGAATTTTTTTCGACGTTAGCCTAAACCACTTTTCATTTTTCGCGAACACTTCCTTTAAAGGTAGAATTTTATTAGGACATAAAGAGAACAGAGGTCTAAATTGTTGAATAAAGAGAACAGAGGTCTAAATTGTTGAATAAAGAGAACAGAGGTCTAAATTGTTGAATAAAGAGAACAGAGGTCTAAATTGTTGAATAAAGAGAACAGAGGTCTAAATTGTTGAATAAAGAGAACAGAGGTCTAAATTGTTGAATAAAGAGAACAGAGGTCTAAATTGTTGAATAAAATGGCGCCACAACGGAAAAGTGGAAACTTTTAATCAAAGCGATTATTTAATTTTTCAATAACAAAAGTTAAGGTTTAGCTGGTTATCACTGGATTAACAACGCTAGCTAGATCAGGTTAAATAGTGTCAAGTTCAATTTTGATTAAGGATGACAGAGACGAATTGGATGATATAGAACGTCAGTGTCAAAAACATTATTTAATTTAAAAACATTTGACGCATTATATAAAATTTCAAGTAGAAAAATATTTCTGATCTTTTTGATTCGGATCTACTAATTTTTCATAACATGTTCTAAAAAGTTTAAAGTTGTGTTAAAGGGAATGACCGGCAATGTATGGTAGCTGAACTGTGAATGTAGTATTGTGGAGAAATTTTTTAGGATTCATTTGAGACATATAAAACGTTTCAAATGATGTATAATTTTGAGTTTGAGCGCAAAGTCGACATTTAAAATCATTCATTTGGGTGGGTACGTTTTAAGAATGGTTATTTACAAAATTATTAAATAATGACGACGAAAAATGTATAAAACTTCTACATTTAACTAATTAAATGTTTAGAATCATCAATAGAAATTTGTCAATGTATTTTAGATAAAAATATATTCAGAAAGACTATCATTTTGAGGAGCCAGCTCCTTATCTCAATTAAATTCTATTTTTACTTTATAAAATCTACATTTAGTCGGACAAGTCACAAGGTTAGTTTTATCCGTAAAATTATACCTTTATATAAAGGTGTAAAGGTATTATCCATACATGTTATACTTTTATCCATTAATATCTGATAATACATTATATAATCATTATATAATCATTATAAAGTCTGCTTTTAAGTTTATCCATAAAAGTCTACTTTTGTTTGCTAAAATGAATTAAAATCTACCTTAATCCAGAATGATATCCATGACATGATTACAATAAGACAAGTAGGTAGATATGTGTGGAACAGATAATATCCCAGTCTCCGCTTGAACATGAAGACGACCTCGAGACAGGTAAAATTTCCTAAAAAAATATAAGATTTTTATAGTTTCTTTGTTTATAATTTGTGTATCAATCTTTTGGGAAATCCCATGTATCCATTCGTCCATTTTGTGGGGTTTCTTGGTCATCATTTGATTCCCGTTTTTAATCCATTTTGGAACATAACATCCCCTGTAAAGTCCATCTTGGGATTCCCCTTGTACAATCCATTTTGGGACTCCCCTTTACAATCCATTTTGGCGCTCCCCCTTTACAATCCATTTTGGGGCTCCCCTTTACAATCCATTTTGGGACTCCCCTTGTACAATCCATTTTGGGACTCCTCCTTAACAATCCATTTTGGGGCTCCCCCTTTACAATCCATTTTGGGGCTCCCCCTTTACAATCCATTTTGGGACTTCCCCTTTACAATCCATTTTGGGACTCCCCTTGTACAATCCATTTTGGGACTTCCCCTTTACAGTCTTATTTGGGGCTCCCCTTTACAATCCATTTTGGGACTCCCCCTTTATTTTGGGGCTCCCCCTTTACAATCCATTTTGGGGCTCCCCCTTTACAATCCATTTTGGGACTCCCCTTTACAATCCATTTTGGGACTCCCCCTTTACAATCCATTTTGGGACTCCCCTTTACAATCCATTTTGGGGCTCCCCCTTAACAGTCCATTTTGGGGCTCCCCCTTTAAACTCCATTTCGGGACTCCCCTTGTACAATCCATTTTGGGACTCTCCCTTGTACAATCCATTTTGGGGCTCCTCCTTAACAATCCATTTTGGGGCTCCTTCCTAAATATCCCTTTTGGGACTCCCTCTTTATGATTGATTTTGGGACTCCTACAATACAATCCATTTCTGGACTCCCCCTTTATAATAATTCATTAATTAAATCTCGTTTTTTTAATCCATTTTGGGGCTCACCATGTTTACAATCTATTTTGATTTATAATTTTACCAAATTATTAAATTGCTCAATTTCCTCCAATTATGATACATAGCATAATTCCACCAATTGCCAGAAATAAAGTTATATTCTTATTTATTTATGTAGTTATATCGGATACTCTTTGAGAATGGTCTGGGTCGATTCCCACTGTACAGATATGTACAACTTTGTACAGCTAATATATCCCCCTGTACAGCCATGGTTAGTCTCATGTACCTGTAAAATAAGCAGTTTAACAGTCTCCTTTACAGCTGTGTAAAGTAAATGTAACTTGTACAGTAAGCTGTTTTACAGTCTTCCAAACATCTATGTACAGTTAATGGTACCTGTACGTAGAGCAGGCTGTTGTGCAGTCTCCTGTACAGATATGTACTGTAAATGATACCTGTAGAATAAGCAGTTGTACAGTATCCTGTACAGCTATGTACTGTAAATGGTACCTGTAGAATAAGCAGTTGTACAGTCTCCTGTACAGCTATGTACTATAAATGATACCTGTAGAATAAGCAGTTGTACAGTCTCCTGTAAAGTTATGAGTGAGTTCCAACTGTGGTAGCTCAATACCACTGTCTACATCAAGGGGCATGATAGGATCCCATTCAAAAACTAGATCATCTGTTGTGTGGGAAACTGAAATAATTCATAATTAAAGGGACTGTTCGCTTTGTTTCAACGCAACCTTAATCGAGTAAGGCATTGTCAATTTTCCATTTATACATGACATTAATCTCACAAAGTTTTCTTTATTGCATAAATCCGTTTTAAAGGAATTCATGCAATTCAAAATCATTATTATTTTTTAAGTTAAAAAACATAGATATCTCATTTTTTCAGGCAAAGGTTTACACTTTACAGGTAGCGTTGCAAGTCGGATATTCAATTTTTGAAATAGATAATCACAGGTGGATAGGTAGCTAGAAATCAACCCTATCTTTAAAAAAGTAAATATAAAAGTAGGAAAATTTACTTTATTAATAAAGTACTTTTCATCATAAAACTTGTCACCCTTAATAGAAAAAAAACAATTAACTAGTGTTAATATTTTTCCAACTTAAGATTGTTTTTTTTTTCAGGATGCACTGAATAAGTTAATTCTCAAATAGACGCCAGAACGAAAATATTTCCAACCAGCTCAAATTAATCAAAAGGGAGTGAAAAAGAAAGTTCAATTTGACAACTTTTTTTATGCGATTCGCAGGAACACGATTTCATATCTAATAGACGACTCACGTTATAGATATAATTTACATCGCTACCTATTTAACCCTATTCCCGCTGGGGGGGGGGGGGTCAATTTGACCCCCCCTGTAGTTTTTTTTACATAACTCAAAAAGTATTGGTCTGAGGCTGTTGAAATTTTCTGACTTTTCTTACATACCCAAAGCCCTCCCTTTAGGCCTAAAACGGGGCTTTAATACTAACTGCCTGAGTCCTCAGGCACACTGCCTGAATGACTGATTTTGCCTGTAACAAACTAAATCTTTGTTTTGACCCACTTTCACTTATCAGATTTTGATAAAATTTAGCTTTTAGGAAAGCCTATGACATAAGGAAACGGATTGCACAAGTTTTGCGAAAAAAATTGCAAATTTTTTGCAAACAACCTGTTAAAGGAAATTTGCACATTTTTAGTTTTTCTTGATTAAAGATCAGGTTATTTAAAATTTTGCAAAAATTTTTGCATATTTGAAATGGCATGGTCAAGGGCTTTTCAAAAATGTATAATTTGTCATTTTTTGGACAAATTTTTTTTTGCAAACATTTTTACTATAAAACTGGATTTTGCGATAAAAAATTCAATTTTCGCAAATTTGCAAATTTTTTTGCAGATTCTCAAAGTAGAGCACAAGAGCTTTCTAATGATGTATCATTTGTCATATTTGGACATAAAACATGGGATTTAGAGGGGGGGGGGGGCAAATTGACCCCCCCCCCCCAGCGTATCCTGGTTTTCAAGTACCCCAGCAGGGATAGGGTTAATAGCAATACTTCATGGAATAAACCAAATGTAAGCCAATGTCACTCTCAGGGAACTCCTGGGTTCTCTCAAAAATTGTCGGCAAATTTGGTCCAACCGTTAGGTCAGATGAGCTTTATCATTTTTGCAAACACTCCCTTTAAGCATTATGGGTCTTACTTGATTCTATTTTGAGATTACAGATCTGCTCGTCGTGAGGGTAGTTCTTGAAGTTCATAGCACAGGACAACACTAGGGTCAACCTAAGCAGATTAAACACTATAGTTTCAGTAGAAGTAAATATTTCCATTTACTGATAGAGCTGATTGAAGGATTCATAACTCTAATTGGATAATGAGATATAGATATAAAGATAGATTTCACCGCCGTACTACTTCTATTGGTTCAGAATAGACAACAAACACATGACTTAACCCTGATTGGATCAGGCGTTAATGGACTCGGCATACAGGAGTGTAAAGGGACTGCTTACGTACTCTCACAAAGAATCAGTTTTGTAAATTACCATCATGTCAACTGACCCAAATATGTACAATGAACAGTTAGGACCACCTTTTAAATTTTTAGTAATTTTGACTTTTTAAAACAAATTTAGTTTACATAATATTCATTTTTAACAGACATATATGCATAAATACTAGAAATTATTTTTAGAAAAATTGCTATGAAAACTGACCGGGCAAACTTTTCTTATGTTTAAAATTCAACATTGTTTTGGTTTAAAGTTGCAATTTCAAATAGATTTTTGCGACAGGATTTCCAATCGAACACACCAATCTTTTCATCGGAGACCCCAATCTTTTTACCGGAGACCCCAATCTGTTCATTGGAGACCCCAATCTTTTCATCGAAGACCCCAATCTTTTCATCGAAGACCCCAATCTTTTCATCGGAGACCCCAATCTTTTTACCGGAGACCCCAATCTGTTCATTGGAGACTCCAATCTTTTCATCGGAGACCCCAATCTTTTCATCGGAGACCCCAATCTTTTCATCGAAGACCCAAATCTTTTCATCGGAGACCCCAATCTTTTCATCGAAGACCCCAATCTTTTCATTGGAGACCCCAATCTTTTCATCGAAGACCCCAATCTTTTCATTAGAGACCCCAATATTTTCATCGGAGACCCCAATCTTCCCAATCTTTTCATTAGAGACCCCAATCTTTTCCTGGATTTTAATCGAAGATCCAAGATTTTTATTGGCGATCCCAAATCTTGACATTGGAAAGCCCATTTAGAAAACATTAGATAATTATGATTGGGCCCCAACCCTCCCACCCTACCCCCCTTACAGGTAATCTTTGTCCATTGTATTTTTCTTCAGTCCACGTCTGGTCTACGTCTCTATATCTGATTTTGTTTACAATTTGAAACTGGTTTCAAGCAAAAATATACAGTATGCAATTGCAGTACACATTTCGGAAAAAAATGACCAGAAAATATGAAAATCTAACAAGTGTGCTCAACTAGGATGTACTGTACGAGGGAGGGGCCTGCCTAAAGTGCGTATAGAAATAAACGTTTATCAATCAATCTACGAGGGAGGGGGTGCAGAGGCGCCATGATCCCCGCAAAAATGACCTCCGAACCTCAGGATTTGCAGAATTACTGAGGCTCGGAGGTCATTTTTGCGGGGATCATGGCGCCTCTGCACCCCCTCCCTCACGTATATTGTGGTAAATTCAAGCCAGTTGACATAGTGGTAATTGACAAAACTGATTCTTTGGGTACTCTCCACATCTAGAGTGGCAAGTCTGATTCACAATGGTATCCTTGAAAGTTTTGTCTGATCAATAATGTATGAAATATCCATAATTTTCTTTCTGAAAATCGCTTATGTTCAATCGTGTTTCCTCTCTAAATAGACAGAAACAATGGAGACAGCGTAGTCCACATTATCGATAAGAAAAAGTTTAAAGAGTATCGTTGTGAATCGGACATACCCCCTTTTCTAAGTGGAGGTCACAACAACAGTTCCTTTCAAATGACAGCTGTCAGAATATAAAGGGATTGTAAGTGTAATTATAAGTGACCCTTCATCATATAGATGGTAAATGGAAATGCCCCATTTACAGCGGTGTCCTTTGTCTGATCAAGTATACTACAGTCAACGAGTATGGGTTCACACCCTTTGCTAATGGTAGATTTCAAAATCTACTTCAGTCAACAAGAATGGGTTCAAACCCTTTGCTAATGGTAGATTTCAAAATCTACTTCAGTCAACAAGAATGGGTTCACACCCTTTGCTAATGGTAGATGTCAAAGTCTACTACAGTTAACGAGAATACATTGTTACTTTTGCTGAATCAATTTGTATTTATAAGTTCAATGAATGCATTCCTTAAAATGTTTTGATTATTTAAGTGCTGACTAATTATCTACTTCAATGAATGTATATTTAGTTGAGATTTCAATATGCATACTTTGTTTCAACAAAAACGATCATACAAAATTATCAAGCATTATATTTTCAATTGGCTCATAATAAATTTTCTTTTGTGTTTTATTTTAAGCTGAACCATCATACATTATTATTTTGTATTTTGTGTTTGAAAATAAATACTAAATATAAATTAGAAACCAATAATTCTAATTTGTAAAACTGATTATTTAGAATTGTGGTTTTCTTAGAAAAGGTTTCAAGGGTGAATCACTCGAAATTATGCTTACAGTCCCTTTAAACTAGGAATAGTTTATGCTGTAAAATTACATTTATTTGGGTTTGAAAATATATTTTAGTTGTTGAAATAAGTTTTTCATAATTAAAAGTTACTTACTTGACCATATATAGAATAGATTTATCCTGGTACAACCAGATGTAGTGATTAGGGATGGTCATCGTCTGAAAAAATATGAAATAATTATTAAATTAAAAAAGATTATTTACAATAAAAGTATTCTGAAAAGAAATAAAGGGAGGAACATGTTTACTGGAGGTATGCTTGTCTGCCCCCCCCCCCTTCCACATTCCGGTGTTAGGTACTTTCCCAATGGCATTTTCCCGAGGGCGACTTCCCAAGTGTGCAATTTTCCAAGAGTCAACTTCCAAAAGGCCTTCTAAGGCGCCGCAGGCTGCAATGAGGCCGAGTGCTGCAGCTAGGAGGGGCTAGGGGGCCGATCGCTGCGGCTAGAACGGGCTAGGGGCCAAGAACTGCGGCTTGACAGACTCGGGAAGTTGCCGCTTGGGAAAATGCCTTTGGGAAAGTACNCCATATCAGTGAAAATTTCTGTGTATGCCCCCCCCGGTCCTGATTTAATATACAATATATATATCCCTAAAGAGTAGTTCAGCACGCTATATTCTAATTTCAAACTAACCTATAAGTACAAGCATTTAACCATATTAAAGAGTTGATAATATTGATAATATACATGGTTTTAAATTATTTGTAAAAATAGTTAAACATGTTAGAGAATTTTTAAAATACTAAAGATATTATTCCAGACGATGCTCCTTAAAGGACTGTAAGCGTAATTTCAAGTGACCCTACATACAAAGATTAAGTATGAACAATTTGCCTTTGTACTTTTGTCTGCAAAAATGATTTTCGCAGTTCCTGCTTTTAAGAAACAATGGAGGAACACGGAAAAATAACACTTATCGAGTCAGAAAAAAACAAATTTTTTAATCAGATTAAGGATTTCAATGGTATCGTTGTAAATCGGGCCTAGCCACCTTTGCATGGAGGATCACTTGAAATAACGCTTACAGTCCCTTTAATCTCTATCTAATTTTAGCACAAACTATCTTGCCAGTTCCTTTAAGATCAAAACTAGCAATAGAAATATTATCTTATAATTTAGAAAAGAGGGAGAGCCTTATCTGATGCATCCGTCAAATGATGCATCTTGCATAAGAAAATAAGAAATATGAAATCAAATTTGGACAAAAAAATGAGAAAAAAATTACAGAATGGGCCAAACAGTGCTGGGAGGTCTATGTAAAAACGGGGGAGGAGGGGGGAAGGTAGGGCAGAGTAAAGGCATGCATTCATAACTAAGATTTTCAAGGCTGGCTGATTAAAAAAATACACAAATTAGTGATGGACTACTTTAGATTTTATTTAACCTGGAATGTGACACTTTTAGCATTTTTAAAAAATGAGTCTGGTCGCCAGATTTCAGTCAGCCATTCTACAGGCAGCAGACGGTATTCAGACGTCATGTTATCTGGTAGCCGTAACCTGAGTTAATATTCATCAATCAATCAAATGAATAACCGAGCAGTCAATCAATCAAGCACCCAACCAATCAATCACTTAATTTAGCAGACTGTACTTAGACATCATATTATCTAGTAGCTGTTGCCTAAATAAATATTCATCGTTGAATGAATCTAAAAACCAATCAGCCAATCAATCAATTATTTGATCAATAGATCAATTAATCAATTCATTAATTAATCAATTAATCAACCAATCAATCAATCAAGTAATAAATCATTTAATCAATCAATTAATCAATTAATTAATCAATTAATTAATGAATGAATGAATGAATGAATCAATCAATCAATCAAACATTCAATTTTTCAATTGATCAACCAATTAATCAATAAATTAATAAATCAATTATTGAATTAATCAATCAACTAAGCAATCAATTAATTAATCAACTAATCAACCAATTAATCAACCAATAAATCAAGTAATCAATCAACTAACCCATTAATCAATCAATTAATCAATCAATTAATCAACCAATAAATCAGGTAGTTAATCAACTAACCAATTAATCAATAAATTTATCAATCAATAAATCAACCAATTAATAAGTAATCAATCGACTAACCAATTTATCAATCAATTAATTAATCAATAAATCAACCAATTAATTAAGTAATCAATCGACTAACCAATTAACCAATTAATTAATCAATCAATAAATCAACCAATTAATTAAGTAATCAATCGACTAACCAATTTATCAATCAATTAATTAATCAATAAATCAACCAATTAATTAAGTAATCAATCGACTAACCAATTTATCAATCAATTACTTAGTCAATTAATCAACCGATTTAGAAGAACACCTTACCAGAGAAACCACAATCTAACTTAATAAATTTTTAACTGAATCAGACAAAGGTTTAAAGATATAAAGGATACCGTTGTAAATCAGAAAATCCAATTTCGAAATAGTAAGTCAATTGAAATTACGAGTCGAGTGCATAATTAAGAGAAATACTTTTCCCTTGTACTTATTTCTATTTCTAATAAAATCCATCTATATCTATATATATATATATATATATACTTTGCTTGTCTCTGTCTGTTTGTTTCCAATAAACGTCAAAACAGCTGTACCGATCGGGCCCAAATTTTGTGTGGGACCTCACATGACTCTGGGAAGGTTTATGAATGATCAAAGTTTCAAAAATTTGTGCTTAAATTTTTTTATTTTTGTAAAATTTTGAAAATGCGCTAAAAAATATTATAAAATTCGCAAATTTTTAAAAATTTTTTTACACAGAGAAGATGCTCACAGATAAAGCCACAATCAAAAGTTGAACAAGAAGATGGGCGTGAAGAATCCTAAAAGCCTAGTTTATGTATACTTTGCTTGTTTGTTTGTTTGTTTTTATCCATTAAACGTCAAAACTGCTAAACCAATTGGGCCCAACTTTTATAGTGTGAGACCTTACATGACCCAAGGGAAGGTTTATGGATACTCAAAATTACAAAAATCTGTCTCCAAAGATTTTTGATTTTCGTAAAAATAAAAAATCCACGAAAAAATGTAAATCCGCGAAATTTTATTCATTGTTTCATCGAAAAGAACTGTTTCGCTACTTAGCGATTTCCCTAAAGACCTAATATATGTACCGTGTGGTATTTCTCAGGATTGGATCGTAAGACTCCCTTCTCTCAACGCTCTTCATAATAAAAAGGAGGATAGTAAGGTTCCGAACGTTTATTTCTCTGAGCCTTCAATCTAAACAAGTTTAATAAACCCACAGAAAAAGCTTTGAGTGAAAATCATACAAATCTAACAAATAATCCACTCAGGCATTAAAAAACTGTGGCTAGGAACCAATAAACGAATACATAATCATCAAACATACTAGAATCAACCAATAAACATAGATATATATATAAATAATTACCACGGTGATCCCAGAATTCTGAACACGGAAAATACTTGCAAAACGAATAAACATATACTGAGTATAAATATCACTACTACTCCGCTAGAAATCTTGCGTCTGCGCAGTCGGACTGTAAACAGTTCCTAAACTAGTTTTTTCACAATACATTCCGTACAGATCTTCAGGAGAAACTCAGAAATACGCAGGGGCGACAAACAGACTTTCTTCACGCAGCATGGCTCGCGTAACAAGAACATGTTGGAAGATTGAACAGCAATACAAACTTGAAGTAGAAGATGGGCGCGAAACGCCCTGGTATCTTAGTTATTGAATAAAGCAGTAAAACAAACTTATTCCCAACAGGATGAAGGAGTTTAGAAACTTGGCTTAATATAGTTAGATAGTTGATATATCATTATATATACTTAACATTGTGTTAATATATCATTATATGTACTGAACAGTGTGTTAATGTATCTTTATATAATAATATAATACAAATAATATAACATCTTAAAATTGAGGACTATTTTGTTTCAATCTTCAAGAAGCTTTAAATAGCTATCTATACAGAAAAATATATTAATAGCAACTCCTATTCTGTATAAAATCCAAAGAACATTAGATGTCGTCTTTTCAAGATTTAGGGCTTTTTCATTCACAGTAGCTTAGCGGCAGTAGCATTAAGGAGTTATGCGCATGCCGCGCTGAATTACAAGACAGAGAGAGAGCATGCGCGTAACTCCTTTGGGATTCCGTCTCAGGGGTATTGTGTACGAAAAACCCATTAATCTTGAAAAGACGACAATAGTGTTCAATCTGTATTGTTTTTAATCAACTTTCATTTTGTCAAGAATGAATGGATGGAGATATTTTTTTCTAATTATTATGTTGCTCTACAAGAATCTGAGTTGTAAACCCTGCACCCTGCAAATATATTTGCAACAGTTTAAAACCTTTGTGTTGAATTAAGATAAACTGAAAATGTGCACAGTCCCTTAGGACCTTAAAGGCTCTGGGGAAACAGTTGTGCAAAATTTATTTGCAAAACTTGTATAATCTTCTTCCTTTTCCCATAGGCTTCCTAAATAGCCAAAATATGCCAGAGGTTTCAGGTAGTCCAGGTTCAGTGTGTCCCACGAAACATGACACTAGCAAGACGAATTGAAGGTCGTATTTGATTTTTAAAATAATCAAAATAATAGACATTATTAACAAAGTGATCAAAATGTTAGACATTTTTAACAAAATATTAGAAATTTCAAAAATATTAGAAATCTTTAACAAAATATTAGAATTAAACATGGTATTTTCGTTGACGCTTTGTCTCTTTAATGTTTTCATTCAACGCGTATCCCTGACCAAGTGAATAAAAGTTTAATCGAAAAACTTTTTATTTTTCAGAAAGTAAAAGTTTGTCTCGGTAATTTGATGCGTAGATGCACTCTATGCGGAGGAGAAAAGTTAAATTTAATTTGAAAAGTAAAACTTGAAATATGATATTTCTTATCTTACACTGGGAAATAATTAAAATAACACAATTTCTCGTAGCTTTTCAGATTTAATTTCTCAGCTTAAAGGGTCTGTAAAGGAAAAATGAAAGGGGGTATAGGCTGAGAGCTTTTCACTTTAGCTCTTGATCGCGACCCAGAAAGTTCTATCTGATGTCCCTGTCTCGAGAAATTCATATAAAACTGTATCAAATTTATACGAAAATTTATATTTTTACAAATTTTTAGAAATAGTAGGCTTAAACAGATCATATTTAGCAATTATGAAATCAATCTGAAAACTTAGGTTTTCTACAATTATTATTTATAATTTTTATTTTCATTTTTAATAGATATAATTGATAACATTATTTATAAGTCCGCATTACGTCATCAGAACTCCCAACAATGGTAGTGCAGTATACTGGTCACGTGTCTCTGTCTGTATCATTTGACCAGTATACTGGACTCTCTTTTCACTTTTATGTGACACTCCATCTGATAAAGGACACTAACGCTTCACACTAATATTGACAGAAGTAATGTTGGTAAAAAATAAGTTATTTTATTGTGGCAAACCCTGTTTAGTAAAAAAAAGACTTAAAATAACATTTTATTTGTAATATTTGTAAATAAACTTGTAGGAAATTAATAATGTTTTTTTCTCCCACCATGTATGTTCACATAATATAACATTCATAACACAACATAGATCTATGTCATCTATCAGACCAAATATTATAGTATAATTCACTACTCATAATAAATATTTTCTGATAAAAGCATATAAACCATGCCAGGATATTTGTCGGAAATTGTTTTTAAATAAAAAATGAGAACCTGAATATTTTTTCCAAAATGACGAAAAAAATGTTCAACGGATTTAAGTCTTTTCTACAAGGTTCAATTTTCTAATCCCTATATCTTTCCAACCCAATGTTGCAGACCTTTCATATTTAGAACTATGAATTCTGGTAGATCAAATAATCTAGGTTTTAAATCTATATATAAATACTTTGTTTGTCTGTCTGTTTGTATTTAATAAACGTCAAAACGGCTGAACCGATCGGGCCCAAATTTTGGGTGAGGTAACATGACCCAAGGGAAAGTTTATGAAGGATCAAAATTTCAAAAATTTGCTTCCAACAAAATTGGATATTCATTAAATTTGAAAATCCACGAATTTTTATTTAACAAAATCCCCGAACTTTTTTTGGTTTTGTTTTACAATGTACATATTAAAAGAAAATATTGAAATTGAAATAGAAGATGGCCGCAAAGCGCCCTAAAAACCTAGTATCGTAGTTGCAAAATTATAGGGTTTAAAAAATTTGACTTTGTGGAAAAGACTTTATTCCTTTGTAACTAAGATACCTTTTCTTTATAATGTCGAACAAAATATATAAAGTAAAAATATTTATTTATGCAACTGCGATGTCTTATCATGCTGGACAATATGTTTTTTTGCAGCAATTTTTTATTTTTGGTTTGTTTAGGGTTTTTAATTTTCAATTGTGGTTTTTCTTCTAAAGGACCTGTGTATGTCTACTGCAGGAAAACAAATAGGAATTATCAGAAGTAAACACTTTTAAATCTTAGAAAACGTCTATAATTTTCACTTTTTAATTTATTAAAGTATATTTTATTTTTACCTGAAATCTTTCCAGGACTGAGCGAAGAAAATATCACAGGTGTACGTCATACTACTCTCATCTATATAAACAGTACATTTAAAGGGACTGTACGTCATACTACTCTCATCTATATAAACAGTATGTTTAAAGGGACTGTAAGTCATACTACTCTCATCTATATAAACAGTATATTTAAAGGGACTGTAAGTCATAGTACTCTCATCTATATAAACAGTACATTTAAAGGGACTGTACGTCATACTACTCTCATCTATATAAACGTACATTTAAAGGGACTGTACGTCATACTACTCTCATCTATATAACAGTATATTTAAAGGGACTATACGTCATACTACTCTCATCTACATAAACACTACAATTAAAGGGACAGTACGTCATACTACTCTCATCTATATAAACAATACATTTAAAGGGACTGTACGTCATACTACTCTCATCTATATAAACAGTATATTTAAAGGGACTGTACGTAATACTACTCTCATCTACATAAACAGTACAATTAAAGGGACTGTACGTCATACTACTCTCATCTATATAAACAGTATATTTAAAGGGACTGTACGTAATACTACTCTCATCTACATAAACAGTACAATTAAAGGGACTGTACGTCATACTACTCTCATCTATATGAACAGTATATTTAAAGGGACTGTACGTCATACTACTCTCATCTATATAAACAGTATATTTAAAGGGACTGTACGTCATACTACTCTCATCTATATAAACAGTATATTAAAAGGGACTGTACGTCATACTACTCTCACCTATATAAACAGTACATTTAAAGGGACTGTACGTCATACTACTCTATCTTTATAAACAGTTTATTTAAAGGGACTGGGGAATGGTTGAATTGCGTTAGGGTTGGTAGTTAGAGTTGGGGGGTTAGGGTGATCGAGGGGATTGGGATTAAGGTATTGGTGGTTAGTATGAGGGGTGGGGGATGGGGGGGGGGGTGGTATTTATATATTACCTATAGTGTCAAGGGACATAACTGTAACATGGAAGAACACTTTCGTTGCATTTCCTAAAACAGAACTTTTATTATAAAAAGAAAAATTGTTTAACCAAGAGTTTTCATATTTCAAATATTTATTGGATTTATTCTTAAATTCTAAAAGTTTTATAGATTTAGATTCCTCAAAAAAAAGGAAAACATGGCTCTTCCGTACTTTTAAGGTCTTAGGAACAATTTACACCATGTACTCTTCACAGAAACATCAGACAGAAATAAAAATGTATAAATCAATAGCAGTTTTAAACTTAAAGCGATTTAATTCAGTATATTTTTATTGTTTGCACCGCCCCTTCCACCCACCGTCCGCCCCTTGGGGTTTCATTTAAAAAAAATACCTTCACGCTTTGGTGGTCTCATTTTGTCGTATATCTTGTTGTGCCGCGGGAGAATATCATTCAGTTCCAGCGGGTCATCTTTGCCGTGAACAAAAACTGAAAACGCGGCATTTTTATCATGCTGTCTGCGCGCATCAAGACTTATAGTATCTAGTATATAGTCTTAAATGCTTAATTTATGTTTTAATATAACCAACTACATTTGTAACTTTGTTACAGCCTTGTGTGCAGTGTATAATGGACATGATGGCCATAAAAAACTTATTTTCAGGGTTTTTCACAGTGAGGACCAGAAAACAGAAGAATATTTAGACGACATGAAAACAAAAATTAATTTTAATTAATGCTGTAACGAAGCAAATTTACTAAATCAAGCGTCCGTGTATTCTGCACAATTTATGTGTTTCATGCCTATTTGACTATTTAAAGTCATAACTGGAGTCTAAAAGTCGTCCATCTACTCCAGAGTTTTCTGGTTCTCACTAGCTATAGAAACAAAATAAGATTTCAACAACACGGAAAATATTTGTTTTTATAAACCCCTGGGGTTAATTAGTTTCATTAGTTAACATCAAATAAAATGTGCAAACCATTATTTTTGTAAGTTTGTATGATCTTATAAATGAATTAAATAAAACAAAACTGCACAGTCGGCATAGAGAAAGGAAACGAAGAGGTAAATCTTACAACAGATGTAAACAGCCTACCACCCTATTAATGTAAATCTGTGGTAAGCTCTTTTGTGGCAAAAACTCAATTCCTTTCAAAAGCCTTTTATTAAGTTAGAATTTATGAACATTATGTTAACATTTCGTGCAACAACGCGGGATCTTTAAAGGTAAAACAGAACTCAACATTCTAGATTCGTAAGAATAGTTTTTATCATTTTCATCCTCATATATTATTTTCTTGTCAATATAACTGGGAATATTCATCAAATCTGAAAGGAACTGTAGATTGTGATTTCAAGTAATTCTCTATAATTGAAAAAAGCAAAGACTTTGCTAATCAACGATCAGAATCAGAAAATCTACGCAAATTTGACGCATTTTCTCGGGTAGACAAAGATTGTATCTAATGTCGTCTTCTTCAGAAATTTAGTATATATTTACCCTTTCGACGTTTCATAATGTTGTCTTTTGTAATGGATTAAATAGTTATTTAAAAACAAAAAAAAGGAAACTACTTTAGTTTTTCTATCTTGAAATGTTCAATTTGTCCATAGTCCATTCATCACTTTTTAAGATGAAAAAAAGACAATATCTTCCTCATTATTACCCAGACAAACTTTTAAATGGTACCCTTGTTGATAGGACCTTTAATGGGTTGAAATTACATCAGTCCCTTAGAACATTTAGCTGAAAATTGATTTTTTTTAATGGCGATCCAAATGTAGCCAAGCAGATCACAGTGACGTTTTCTTTGAAAAAGTGGGATTTACGTTACAAAAACAACAAAATAAATTGTCAGAATTTGACACGTTTAGATAGAAAAACAAAGAAATTTTCCACAAAGATACTGATATAGAGGTTTAAAGGTTTACAGGGTTTAAAGGGTATAATGCAAATGTTACTTTTGTTATATTAGTTCACAGCTATAAAGGGATCCATGAATGCAAAAAAATAATTTATAGCTGACATGTTTATATTATATGTTATTGAAAGGAATATCTAACTACTCAGTGTTTATTAATTATTAATTTTGCAAATTGTTTTGGCATTGTCTTGCCAAATTGTTTTCAAGTTGTGTTCAAATAAAAACATCAAATAGAACAGTAAACTCGTGTTTATGCAAATAATTCTGAAACTTTATTTTCTTCAGTTTTAATTCTACAACATTTTGCACACTCATGCTTTCAACACTTATTAGTCGCCTATAATTCTCATTTTCTAATATCTTATTAATTTTGCAAGAAATTTAATCTTAGCCACAAACTTAAATTTTTTAATTCCTATATCTTTATAACCTGATGGTGTAAACCCTTTTCAAACTTACTTAGATTATTTGATTAAACAAAATTCATAGTTTTAAGTATCGAAAGTCTATAACAATGGGTTACAAAGATATGGAATTATGAAATCAGTGTTTTTTTGGCTAATTTATTTTAAACAACCCGCTCTTCGTTCATAAAACATTTTTCAATTTGTCCGATCATACAATTATTAGTTATTTATAAATATATTTTGGTTTCAAGCCAATCTAATCAGTCAGTTTGTATTTATTATTTCTCTTTCTAATCAGTCATTTTGGTAATTATAAACTATATTGTAAATTACAAGATAAACCTCAGTATTTAGTTAGTTAAGTTTTTCATTTTAGGCAAGGATTTGAGTTGTTGCTACAACATCACTTTGTCGTCTCCCTCCTTATTCCTAATTTTAAACAAATATTTGATTTTTGCTCTTTGTTAAAATATCAAAATTAATAAAAACTTTAGAATTTGAAGAAATATAAAAGTGCTAATCCGTCTCTTTTTGCATTTAAATTTTCTTTAGATTTCAATTTTGCAAAATTCAGAAGAAAAAAATTTAAAATCAATTGTTTCAGCCTCTTCCAGGAAACCACAGCGGATGGAGTAACTAGAGCTTCCAGGAAAACCACAGCGGATGGAGTAACTAGAGCTTCCAGGAAATCACAGCGGATGGAGTAACTAGAGCTTTTGGCAATTTTTTAACTACAAATCTCAAAAAAGCTGGATTTATTTTTTCATTAGATATATTTAAAACAAAACAAAAATAATTCATAAAATGAAAATTGTTTTAATGTGATGAACGAGGAGTTAGAAATTGGAAATTAGCTTCGCAAATAGAAATTATTTCTTATGCATGCAAGTTCTGAAGTAAATTCTAACGTTGTGATCTACTTATCAAAAACTCTGTGATAAATGGCTATTACTTAATCTTGAAATACGGGGTCATATCGTTGCATGAACCGAACCCGTACAAGCATTTACCGGCCTACAAAATGCACTTAGACCCATCTAATAAACCCAGTTTTTAATAGACCCAGATGTACATTATTTGATCAGAATTTCTTCAAACATTTTTGGCAGCTGGAATTTTGCATTGTCAAAGCTACTGAACATGTTTTCTAAAGATATAGAAAAATTCAATGCTCGCTCTAGAATTGTTTTTACTCTGTGAAAAGAAAACCTAGAAATGAGAGAATAAAAAGTAGAATTGAAAGGTTTCTCCATTCCTTGGATTAATTAAAACTTGATTTATAAATTAATAGATTTAGTCAAAATTTAGAATTACACAGAATTTTGTCTTGGATTTACTTTTTCCCACAAATCATTCCACGCCGGCTTTTTCATTCAGTTTTCATTGTAACGAAATGAAAACAGTTTTTATCATAAAAAAAATAAAATAAATTTGCCGAATCATTTTTCGCATTGCAAATTTTACATTTTTCCATCCACATAAAAAGATCATACTTTTCGTTGAATTCTATCGGTTTCTATAAGTGGGTTTACAAAAAATAAATTAACAACCAATATTTTTTTGATTTCGAGTTCTCAGCAGCCTCACATTTTTTTGATCGGACCTTATCAGTTCATGTGTTTCAACGCTTATTGAATTCAAACAAACAAACAACCAGACACCCAAATATACTTATGATAAATACTAAAATTATAGTGTATAAAAGTATCTCTATCTATTGTATATCCTTATTATATCATTCTTTTCGGCTTGACGTGTTACATACATATTACTTATTTCTTTCTTTTTATCAATAAAACCGTCCGTAAATGGTTCTAAGTGTAGATGAGGGAAGGGGGGAGGAAGGGACTGTACGTCATACTACTCTCATCTATATAAACAGTACATTTAAAGGGACTGTACGTCATACTACTCTCATCTATATAAACAGTATATTTAAAGGGACTGTAAGTCATACTACTCTCATCTATATAAACAGTATATTTAAAGGGACTGTACGTCATACTACTCTCATCTATATAAACAGGTCTAGCTAAGGGAGGGGGGATGGAGGGTTTGATCAAGTATGAATTAGACATCAATGTTTAAAATTTTGTATGTTCCCTAAAAAAGTGACTTGCGCATTTTTACTGAAAGAAAACATATAGGAATTATTAGAATTAAACGACAATATCTTCCACATTATTGATAAAATAAAGGTTTCAAAGGCTTTGCCAACTTTGCTGAAGGGTCAATTAATATCACGTTTACAGTCCCTTTACTATCTTTTCAGTAGAAGTAAATATTTCCATTTACTGATAGCGCCGATATAAGGATTTATCTCTAATTGAATAATGAGATAGATAGAAAGATAGATGTTACCGCCATACTATCGATATAAGGATTTATCTCTAATTGAATAATGAGATAGATAGAAAGATAGATGTTACCGCCATACTATTTCTATTGGTTCAGAATAGACAACAAACACATGACTGAATCCTGATTGGATCAGGCGCTAATGGAATCGGCATACAGGAGTGCCTTTAAGCCAATAGTGTTTCCAATCAGACTTTGCAACCTTCTTCGATTTTTTATTTTACAAAAACTAAAGAAAATTATTTAAATAAACTTTTTTTTAACTTTAAAGCGCAAAAAGACAAGTTATTGTTAATAATAAAGACTAGAAAATGGTATTTTGTAAATAAAGTTTCCAAAATGTGACTAATCATCACTTTTTCTTGAATTATTTATAGACTCTAAAAACTGAATTTTAGTATTGAAGTTGCATGATGAAATTGCATGCAAAACTGTGAAGTTGAGAATTTAAAAAAGATCCAATATTCAGGGATTAAATTTGTTAAAGGGGTGATATGTAAACTTAATCTTATCAGACTCTTTCTTTAGAGATAGTGCCACTATCAATTGACAAAAATAACTCCTTTAAAAACGTTTCTAAGGTGCCAAGAAATTTTTGATAATGTCATTGTTGCAATCGGCACTTATAAGCCATTTCTTCTTTCTGTCATTTGTGAATTGGTCAATATTTTGCTATTGTTTTTTTTATGTGAAAAAATTCTCTACCCTGTCCAAGCCGCAGCGCTTGCCCCTAGAACCTGCTATGTAAACATATGTGTTTTTTAGCTGATATGTCTCTAAAGAAATATTTTTTTTCAGGAAATTGACAATTCGATATACGATTTAGTTCAGATTAGCGCGAACAGGCACAGAAAACTTTAAAAGAAGAAAGGTAATCTTCAAATCATGTAAAAGTAATTACGTTAACATCCCTCTGAATTTCTCCTTTAGTTAAAATGTTTTTATCCCTTCAAACACATTTCTGATTTTCAATTTTTTTAAATCTGCGTTCAAGACTAAAATTGTATGTTTTATTAAAAATTAATAATAATCTTTTAAATAATTTGAAAATAATAGATTTGAATATATCTGTGTACTTTTAAACCTCTACTCTTCAAGAAAAAACCAGTGGACAATATTACTGTACTTTCTATTCAAGAAGGTTATGGGACAATTTAAGCAATTAAAAAAATGGGGCTTCAGAAATGAAAGAAGAAAAATTACTAAAATTTATGTAAATAAATGTAGATTTTTCGTTTTTGTTATTTGCTACGTTTTTTTTGAGCAATGCATTTATAAGCTAAGGAACAGAGTTTTTTTCCACAAACTCAAATATTCCTATCCATATATCTTGGCAACCCAATGTCGTAGACCTTAGATATTTCAAACTAATAATTCTGTTAGATCAAATAATCTAAGTTTGAAATATCAAAAGTTGCAGACATAAAGAAATTAGAAAATTTGTGATTGTGACAAAAACTTAATTCCTTTACGCTACATGCACTGGATTCTATTGAGATATCAAATATTGTTCCAATTTAGACAGACTGTAATTTTTTGTACTAAACTAAATTGATTAGAGGACTTTTACATAGATCCTCGAACAATTTAAGGTATACATTTTGTACACCCAAAAAATGTGTGTTTTCCTTTTTTGTTACTATAATAATAATAACTTTAATAATAATAATAATAATAAAAATATTTAATATTAGGTGGGAAGATAGTACAGATGATGGATCTTGAGAAAGGAGAAAAAATAACGAATACATCGGAAGAACTTATCAAATGTCGTCTTGACAATTTATTTAATGAGTTTTATACTATATTACGTTAATTTCAGTATTTGCGAAAATAAATAAATAGCCATAAATATGCAGGAATAGTTTTAAAGAGCTCCATATAATCATTTAATTAAAAAATTCAATATCTGCAACATTCCATTATCAGAAAGTAAAGAATACGACATTTGATGAATTCTTTCGATGTATTCGTTATTAAGGGTTTCACTGTATCAATGCTAAAATTAATAATAATAATAACGCTAATACTAATAATGATAATATTAATAATAATAATAACTTTAATGCTACCAATGATAAAATTTATAATAATAATAACTTTAATACTATTAATGATAATGTTGTTGACAGTAAACATATTGTTAGTTATCATAATAATAACAATAATAAAAATAATTATGATAATAATGGTGCTAATGATAGTAGTAATAATTATAACACTAATAAAAAAGTAATAATAACAATAATAAAAATAATAATGATAATAATAATAAGAAATAATAATAATACAATTTGATTGATTGATTTCTACCAACCTTGTCCAGCTGGTGCATCAACTTCACACCCAATTTTGCAAATTCTAAAAAATTAAATTATGAAAATTTTTATTTTTTATTTTCATGAAAAGTTAGATTTTTATTTCATGAAAAATTAATTTTTTTATTTCATGAAAATTTAGATTGTTTCATTTCATTCAAATTTTTTTTTTCATGAAAAATAAAAATTTGTGTGAGTCTACAAGTCGCTTAGAGTTCATTTTTATCTTTTTTTTCAAAAGTCAAAAATAAGCAAAAAGAAGTTGATTACTAGCCATCAACTCTAAAAAATCTAATTCTTCCATCTTCGAAACTTGATGGTGTTGACTTTAGACATCTTTAACTTCAGTTATTCATAGTTTTAAACGTCAAAGGTCTACGAGATACGATTACAAAAAATAAAGATAAAAATAATGTTATCTGTTCCTTTTCATTAAATTTTTAACTGTTCATTTACTTTTCTTTCCTTACAAAATATGATTTTAGCAAATGAAATAATTATGAAATATTTGAACAGTATTTAAGTGCAAAGGAAATGAATTTTTTATTCTGTTTTAAACTTTGAGAAACTAAAATAAAGTTTACGAAAGTTGTAATAAATAAAATAAAACAAATTTTGGCACTTTAATTTGTTTAAATGGCGAAAATTACTCAAAATAATTAAATAATAATCTTAAAATGGTCAGGTTCTATTTTCAAACAAGCAACATCTAACTGTTCGAATAATAATCATTCCTTTATAAAAAGCTGGTTTTTGGTATCCAACAATTATCATTGAATCTCGTAAATCTAAAAACTTATTAGTGTAGGTCAATAATTTATCCTGAGAAAAATTTGAGGAATAGAAATTTAAACCCCCGAGGGATTCAATGATAAACCCGAGTGCAGAGCCCAAGGATTAATGAATGAATTCAATTTCAAACCTCACTCTATAATTTTTCTCAGAGTAAATCACTATTTCAGAAAAACTTTCTAGGGCAATATCATTTTATCCTCCCAGGTACAGCTTGCTGGAAATATTTGTTTAAAGGGAGTGACCGGCTATGTAAGTTAGTTGAACTGAGTATGCAGTGTTGTGGAAAACTTCTTTCGGATTCATTTGAGACATTTAAAACTTTTTAAAGATCTGTAAATCCTGAGTTTGAGCGTAAATTCGACGTTCAAAACTCATACTTTGGGAGTGGATACGTGTTCAGAATTAGTTTTTTTTTTAATTATTGAATAACGACAACGAAAAATAAAGTAAAAATTATACAGTAATCTAATTAGATGGTTAGGAATATATTTCTCAAAAGAAATTTGGAAATATATAGATCAATGCTAAAATCGATTATTTCGTTTTCATTATTATATTGAATTTCTTATCTTCTTTGAATTTATTCGCAGAATTCTACAAATTCTTCAAATGTCGTTTTTTCAATAATAATTCTAGAAAATCTGCGAAAATCTTTGTAAATAATGAGAAACCAGAATAATGAGAACATAGAAACTAATAATTAAACAAGATTACTTATTTTATTATTATGATAAGATTAATTTTTATTTTCTCAACATGTTCCTATACATGACGTCTGTAGTTTATTGTAGAACTTTTTTTACATTTTATGTCGTCGTTATTTAATAATTTAAAAAAACTAATTTTGAAAACGTATCCACCCTCAAATAGGAATTTTCAAATTTGCGCTGAAACTCAGGATTTACAGATATTTAAAAAGTTAAATATGTCTCAAATGAATCCGTAAGAAGTTTTCCACAACACTGCATACTCAGTTCAACTACCTTACAAAGCCGGTCACTCCCTTTAAAGAAATTATTAAGATTTAAAAACCTGAAGGAATTCAGCCTTTCCCGCAGTCTCAAACTGTGTAATCCCTTTATCTATGCAACCTAATGTTTCAAACTTGGATTTTTGGCCTAGCAGAATTCCTAGCTTAAAATATCTAAGGTCTACAATATTGGGTTGCAATAGCATAGAAAAAGAGATTATAAAATCAGAGTTTGTGGCAAAGACTCAATTCATAAATTTGAAATAACTTACATAATAAGGAGCAGAAGACAGAGGTAAGATGTCTTAAACCCGTGTCCACCCTCCAGCATCATCATCCTACAAAAATATTTATACGTAAGAAATGCGAAATAAAATACATCGAATTACAATAAACTTTATTTTTTTTTTCAATCCCAAAGTTGGTGCAACCCGATGTTTCAAACTAAAAGTCTGTACATCAAACAGTCTAAATTTGAAATATCAAAGGTTTACACCCTAAGGTTGCAAAGATATAGTAATTAGAAAATAGTTGCTTAACGTAAAGTTGTGAAGTTTGAGATTTAGATATCAATAATTTTGTTAAAGGTTAATACAAATATTTTTTAAGATAAAAAAATGTTTTGAGATTAATCAAAAGATTTATTTCACTTTTAAATTGATTTCCAGAAGGTTCACGGGGGGGGGGGTAGGGATGTTGCCCCTTTCTTCCTCTCCCCCCCCCCCCCCCACCAGGGTTCTTTATATAAACCCGGTGGTAAACTGTTTGTGTAAACTAGGTTTATTATTCATATTATTTATCATTGGTTTCTCCAACCTTGAAACTCATTCAATACTTGAAAACTTATACAACTAGAGGACTAGAGGACTAGAGGACTAGAGGACTAGAAGAATAAAGGAATAGAGGACTAGAGGACTAGATGACTAGAGGAATAGAGGACTAGAGGACTAGAGGACTAGAGGACTAGAGGACTTGAGGACTAGAAGATTATTGGAATAGTGATTTAGGGGAGAACGGGGAGACTAGAGGACTAGAAGACTATAAAAGTAGGACTATTTAGAGAACTAGGAATGATGAGAATTAAAAACATGAACGTTCGTCGCCCAGACCCTGAAATGACAAAGGAGGGGGGGGGGGGGG